ACTCAGACATGCTAATAAAATCTGCTGCAAAACATATTCAGAGTAAACCAGTGCTTGAATATTTGAAAACTAAAAATATAACGGGCACTCACTCACCTTTTGTAAGGTCACTGTGTACTGTTCCCATATCAGCTCTTCCATGCCTGAGGCCTGTTGCACACAGAAACCAATTAGTAAAACACACAGCATATAACTATTTAAATTAAAATGTGAAATATCCCACTAAACACAGGTTTAAAAAATATATGCATATTCTAATATTTGGGAAGAATTAGTTTGAAATTCGTATATTTCAATTAATGACAATTTTTCTTTAAAAAAAGGAAAAAATTATTAACAGGTCCAGAGTGGTAGAATCCCTTCACGTTTCACTGATTTAACTCATTCTGATTTTCTGGAAAATGCTATTCAGCAAAAGCATTTAACTCAGATCAACTAGCATTCTATAGCTCTGGTTCAAATACACATAAAATACTTATGGAAGACCTTTCTGTCCCAGTATGCAGTAAGATTAGCAGTTGAAACTGAGGTTTTCAAAATGAACTAGACTTCAAATCTCTTGTGTCTTGTTCATGTGGATTTAACAAAATGTTTTGTCCGCTATCAATTACATAACTAAATATTTAGGTTCCCATCAAGAAATTAAATTTTACAGGAAAACACAATGTATCACTATATAGTACAGATACAGCCATTTCTGTGACACTTCTCAGAGACTTTTTTTTCCCACATTTCCAGTTAAAACTGATCACTTTATCTTACATGATATAAGCTGAAATCTTTCCAACATCACAGCTTAAAATATAATACAGAATAATCACCCAGCTATGATGCATCATATAATACACAGCCAGCCCCTTCAGTGTCTGCCCTGTAAAACTAAGAGAAAAATGAGCCACTGCACTGCAGAAAAATGACACTGCAAGCATTTCATAATGGAAAGTATCCACTGCAGAAGAAAAATCCAGGCACTGCATAAGTATGTGCATGCTTATACTTAAGCCATAGGTTTTATTTGTTGAAAATGGTCTTCCTTTATCTCAGAAAACTGAATTACAGACAGAAGCTCAGTTCAGACTTAATGGTCTTTTTAAAGGCATTGTAGGGAGTACTGACAACTAAACTCAGAAACAATAGACAGAGAAGTGACACAAGAAGGGTATGCCTCTACTTTAAGGCATCCCTTGCATTTTCAGAGTAAGACTTCTGGCAGTGCACAACTGTTCAGCAAGCTGTGGACATTATTTCTCATATGCAAAAAAACCCTTCTTGCATAGTTTCAGTTGATTCTGTGCACCACAAAGAGAAACTAGACTTACATTTTCACTCGCACATTCACTGTATTGAAAAAAAAAGTAAGTCCTACTCAGAGATCCTGAAGGAATATGCAAAACATTCAGCATTCTTACCAGGAATTTTACAACACTGAACAGTGTAAAATTTCCACTGTTCTGCCAGAAAATGAACAACGCTTTCCAGTTTCCAGTACCTCTGGCGTCTAATTAAAAAGAAAATTAAAAAGAGATGTAGGAGATGATGGCTTATACTAAAAGTAATACATGTAAGTAATTGTTTCTAAATTTTGACTTGTCTAGATCGGACAAGAATCTGTTCATGATTATTAGTATTCAAAACGTGTCTGGGGTCAGTGTTGAATGTGCTGAATCACATACTAAAATTGCTTCATCTGGTAATACCATTTAACCAGTTAACATGTCTAAGCTTTCAGCTATCTGAAATGGAACTCACTCGATATATTCCCTTACAAAGAGAATCTCTGTCACAAGTGAAAAATTCCTCCTTAACTAAGCTCTTCTTTTGAACTGCTGTGATGCTGCTGTAAATGGAAGCAACTAGGCTTGCTTATCTGGCATGTATCAAACAGTTTACCTACCACTAACCCTTCCTAGAGTCCTGCTTTCCTATGTATTTTTAAGCTCTGAAAAAATGAGTCTGTGCTGAAAAAAGGCCTCAATGTCATTTAAATTCCATCTGACTTCACTGAATAAAGTTTTAGAAATGAAAGTCAGTACCAAATGATGGGTAAGATTTGAAGGACAAGCAGGTAGGTTCAAATTTTGTAGAGGCACAGAAGAGGGGAAATGTTCTCCATCCTCCTCCCGGTAAAAAAGCCTCAACAACTTAGACATGTAGCACAAACATCACTTGAATTCAGTTTGCACTGTACGCAGCTCCTACAAGCACCACCACCCAGCCAAGAATAATGAGGCCAGCTCTCAACAGGTGCACGAGTAAGGCAGGTAGAATGCAGTCACGGGGAGCTTACTACCCATGGGGATGAAAGACAGGCCTGAGAAATGACTGTTTATTCAGTACAATACTGCAGGAAAAGGACTGAGGAAAGCACTGTAAAGATATCAGGGATGGATGTAAGGATATGAAACAGGAAACTTACAGGAATTTCTTTCCAGAAAACTAGGCCTTCCGTGAGCAGTGGCGTAAGTATAAACTTGTGCACAAGTGGAGAGATGTACTGGGTAGTAAACCAAAGCATCATAAGCCTACAGAGTTATGTTACTTTACTCTGACAAATAACTCTTATGGTTCTGGTCAGAAAGAAAAAAAAAAGTAGTAAGAATGAAAGAGAAACTACTGCTTACAGACGCTAAAATTAAGGTCTTGCAAGATTCCAAGACTATAGCATCATCTCATTTGTGCCTAGAAAAAAGATCCTCAGTGACTGTTTCAGGTACATTCTGTGCAAATTTGGGGGTTTGTTATTACCTTGACACTGTTACTGAAAATTCAAAAGATAATTAAGCAATTAGCTTTTAAATTCGTTGAAGTAATCCATTTTTTTAAACTGCTCCTTGGGAAACTGTCTCCCATTTGCTGTCCTCTGCATCAGGGAAGGAAAGCACACTATGTACTTGCACAGCTGATTTTGTACAATGTACAAAATTACCAAGACAACACGATTAGTTCTGCTGTACTGATAAAGCAATGCAGGCTCTACAACACAGTTCAAAGAACTGAATGATCACCCTGGAAGCCCATAAGGCAAAAACAATCTCTAAACAATAATCTCTTTAATATTATAAAACATACTACTGCTGCTTGCCATTGTCACGATGCTAACCCAGACGGTCAGAGTAATGGAGAAGAGAAGATTGAGAGGGAGGGAGAGACTACAAATGTTACAAATCATCGGTCAGGGACTTGATCAAAACTAATATCTAAGTCTCCACCCGAATTGCGAAATTCCTGTACTCCACATTTAGTGATGTGACTCTCCTCTGAATGCATCAAGTGATGAGTTATGAAAAGCCTTCATCACCTTGCCAATTTCTTCATACTTCATCTGTAAGGAAACACAAAAGGATCCTGAGCAGCTTGTGCATCCCTTACAGGATCGCAGTTTCACTGCAAGATTGCACACCAAAACACTGGAGAGAGAAAGGCAGGCAAAATGGTTAAGAACCCCACCTCCAGCTACTAACACTAACTGTTTTACAAGTCCACCCAGGTTTCATATAGACAACAGGCTACCTGCAGTAAATGCAAATTATTGTAACTAGCTAGTCTAAATTCATTAGGGACTATAGTCAGTCCATTTCTAATTAGAACACTATAGTCAGGATTTGCTTAAATCTGTCTAATGCTCATACACTAAAACGACAGGTGCTTTCTAAAATACCCAAAATAGACTGTTCAACAGAATCCTTGGCAGGAAACTAGTCAAAGTGCTAAAATCGCCAGTGTGCAACAAACAGGCAGCTGTTGCAGCTCTAACTGACAGTCACCAAGAGATTTATGCAATTACTTGCTACTGAGAGATCACAGAAGACAACTTCATTCACGCCGAAAGAACAACAAAACCAGAAGACCTGCCACGACAATCATCTGGCTATAAAAGTGAGCTGGAGAGGGGAGGGATATGTGAGGGGAGGAGGGGAGGAAAAGACGTGGAGCAAGATGCAACAAAAAGCAACTCACGTGCCCTTTTAAAATCCCCAACTTTTTGACTGCATGTGACCACATTCTCTGCAGAGCTTGAGCTGTCTTCATTGTTGCAGGATATAATCTGTGAGGGAACGCCGTACATCCCGTCTTTTCATCTGTTTCCACCACTCAACATGGTTATGTAATTCTAATACAATAGTGGCCTACATACTAGAACAAATCCTGCTGTCAGTTTCACACAGAAACACATCAAAACCGCAGCAAGGAAATGCAGTGTGAGTTTAACTAACTCCCAGTTTGAAAGATCCCAGGAAAATGCAGTGCTGTAATCTTATGTTTGTTTTTAAATGAAGTGCTGAACACTATGCAGCACCTTACTCTTCTTCCAAGCACATATGGGTTCACCCCACTGGGAACCTAATTTAAATACAGAAGAAAAAGGCTTAAGAAGCACAGTACAGATGATTTGAAAATTCATATATTGACTATAATATTTTACAGTTTTTGCAGAACTGTGTGGGCTTGGCTCCAGCAAGGAAAAGGAGAAATAAATACAGAATAATACTCACTGAAAATAACAGTATTTGCCATCAAACATTTAGTAAGGTATCATTTGTAAGAAAGATAAGCTAATCGTACAGCCAAACAGATAGGTTACTTTATTGGAAAATAGGTCAAGCTATCACTCCCATTTATGCTGCATGAATACTGTGAAATTTAAGCCTCAAGTGAACTTTTCCCCTAGACTTTATGTAAGTTTCACAGGCAGTGAACAGATAGGAAGATATGCCAAGTTTTGTACACAATGCTAACCAAAACTTCCATACACAGATTTCATTTTTCACTAGTCAACCAATCTTAACTGCTAAAGAGTATTAATTCAGACAGCAGTGGAAAATGTGAAGGGTTGTGTTGTTCATTTTTTGTTGGGGTTTAGTTTTTTTGGGGAGTGGGGTGGGGGAGAATGGGGGTAGGAGGAATGCAGAAGGACAATGCATGTGTTCAAGATTTTCCATGCAAAGCAAAGACTGAATTCAGCATTCCGCATTTTAACTATGACCCCACCTCTGCACTAGGTGAACTAGGATGAACAGAGGCTTGCACCTTCATCACTGAGCTGCCAAGAGTGAACACCAAGGGGATCCAGAAGCAGCACACTGACACCAGCCCCCAGCTCAGGCTACCCACTTGGACATGAGTAAGACTTTTATTAGAGTTTGGTCAAAATAGTTTAGAATCTCCATCAACATTTCTAAAGAGCACATTCCTCTCAACAGACTCACATTCACAGCTTCCAAAACTGGTATTTATTTATTTATTTTTACAAAATAGGGGCAGGAAAAAGAAACAAATGTAAGTATGTCTTTGAGACTTCTCTAGCCCTGTTTTCTTAGCTTTTTTGTTTTCCTCCCCCTAGCCCTGAAAAAGCTTCAGAAGCACTCCTAATAGAGAAGAAAAGACCATCATGACATAAGAGAATAAAAATGGTGAATTATTATCCATGGGCTGTAGCAGTTATAACAGCAAGGACTCTTCTTTCTTGGTTTTGGACTATCCTTTTTCTCTACAGGAATATAATAAGAAAAATGAATGGATTGCCTCCACCAAAATTTAAAACAGAATTTTTCTGAAATTTAAAAAATAATTTAGAAAATTAAAAAAAAAAAAATTAGGAATGTTGCTGCAAGTGAAAAGACCAGAGAATTAACAGAAAGATGCAAATGTTTGCATTTGGATGTTTCATTTTGAAGGAAAACAATATCTCCAGAACAGGAATACCTCAATTCAATTATTTTAAAGTGAGATAGAAAAAAATTTCAAACAAGCATTGTCCCAGACACTGTTTCCTTTTACTTTACCTGTATGCCTCTTCACAAAAACTAACTATAAAGGGAAATGATAACCTAATTTCACTCCTAGAACAAGATTACAAAGGCAATTACAACATATTTACATATCACATCTATTATCCACAGACATTTAAAACAAAAACTTTTTTTAAAAACAAGTTCAATTCCAATGACAGATACCAGAACACTCTGGTTCTTTCTGGGAGTCTGTCCTGACAATAAATGTTTGTGAATCCTGTGGGGAAAGAAAACTAAGCATGATGATCTGGTTTATAAACTGGGGAAGGTGAAAAGAAAACGAGAGCTCTCAAAAAACTTAACAGAGCAACCTCAGAACGTCACAACAAAATCCTACAGCAGCAAGCTGCAGCTCTCCTCTCACCCTGGTGAAAATTTTACACCCAGCACTATGTTTTGATCTCTTCCTCTATAGACAAGGAAGAAAAAGGGTGTTTCTTCACATACAATCTATATAAGCAAGACATAATCTCTCCAAGCAAGCAGAAAGGATATCTGAAATACTCTTGCTGGCTCCATTATGGAACTAACACAAGAAAAGAGGTCCTTGTGCCCTCCAATTTTTCATGTGCCCCTTCATATGTTACTAAGGATATAAGCACAGGAACTTTGAAAGCCGAGTCTAGGTCTTCCCTAAAGACAGACTCACACAACAAGGATGATCAAGAACTTAAAGCTTAACTGAAAGCTACCCACTTGTAAAAGGCAGAGGGGCAGGGACTCTTCTATCCACTGATAGGAACAGCCAGGGGAGGGAGTCCAAAGCTGTATCAAGACATAAGTATTCCTAGTCTCAAAGACTAGGTACACTATCAGAGGAATCAGAAGCTGCCCTTACTCCTAATCTGCCCTCATAAAGACAATTATGATAGACAAAAAAGCATGGCCTTAGATTTACAGGCTTTCAAAGATCCTTATCCACTTCAATTTCTGGATGACACTAAAATAATGCCCTCTGTAGAGAGTAGAGGCTCAGTGAAATGAGAAGAAATCTATACATCAGTGTGCTGTGTGAAGCACCACATCTCCTTTTTCAGCTGAATGCCACAGCCTAGGTTATTAAAGACATCTACAAAATGATGATCATGCAACACAAGTTGCATAGCCAGATCTTGCCAAGTATTCTCAACATAGAGAAAAATGACTGAAGAGGAACAGGACCTTTACCAGGCCTCTCTCTGCAGTGAGAAAGTCACTTGGGAGAAAGCTCAACCTGATGTGTTCCCATGAATTGTCTGTGTATGATACAGCACACCTTTGATTAGGATCCAGGAAAAAGAGAAAAAACTACTTTACCCATGTATCTTTCACAATAAAGCCAACATCTTGCACAAAAGGAGGTACCTTACTTTCTACCAATAAGTTCCCTGATTCAAAGAAGCTTATCCTATTTTTCAGGTAGGTTACTGTACCAATACAGCAACTCCCAAAAGAGCAACAGATCCTCCTCAAGAACAGGTTTCTAGAATGATGAATGGCTCAAATTAAAGAAAAAAGCGATAAAAAATGGTTTGCAAAATTTGTCCATTAGAAGTAAAAGATAACTGCTCTTCAACAGTGGCAGAAACTCCTCTTTCCTCCTAGGGGCACAGAGAAGACATTTAAGGTACAGTTCCATGTTAAAAGATCATCAGCTCTACTTTCACATTCCAGTAAAATCAAAATGGTTGTTAACATCACAGTGTGTTATATTAACAGGATGCAGGAAGTTGGGGGGGAAAAAGTCACAAACTGTGCACATTAGTATACTTCTGCAATGGAATGGAAATTTTTGAAGGAGAAGAAAAAAATTCACACAGAAATGAGCTGTGCAGGCAATCCTTTCTTCTGCTTCCCTCTAAAGGAGAATTATCAGTTACATTATATAAGGTTTGCTTTCACTCAAATTACTCAACAGGAACAAATATTACCAAAATACTTTTGCACTATTGGCAAAGTAACAAATACATTCATCAGCAACCTGGTCAAGTGGAAATTGTTCCTGCTCATGGCAAGGGGGTTGGAATTAGATTAATTTTTAATTCACTTCCAACCCAAATCACTCTGTGATTCTGTGTGTTATCAGACTTTGTGTCAGAAACTTTTTTTTCACACAATGCGTGTAGAAACAGCAATCTGAAGGGCTACCTAAGAAGACCTAAAGAAAACATAAATTGAGCATAGTGTTTCCAAAAATTTGTTTTTCACAGAAAAGTTAAAATCATGGTAGGAATATCACTATACAGAAACACAAACCATTTTTCATGTAAAAGACAAGATATTGTTCAAAGCTTTTTTAAATCATATTTCACCCAGAAGTTATACCATTCAGTTGCTAAATGCGATCTAAAACAGTACTGGCAAATACTGCATGAAGTACAACAAGCCTATTCTGGACATTCACAAACCAATCTTTCTTTCTTAAGTTTCATGAAAACTCTTAAAATTATCAAAGGAGAACAGTTAACTAAACAATAATGAAACACTCTTTTGTTTCATTTATTTTAGGAATACTGTGAATCCATCATGACAACAATACCCACAGTCATTACTTGACACTGTGCTGAGCACTATTTGCCTACAAATTTTGCTTTCAGTTAGCAAAACTACTACTTCCTACAAATCACCCAGTACCAAGGCTCTCAGCTGCAAAGCCAAGAGCACAATTCAGGTTTCTTGACTTCAAGTCCAGTAGCCTAAGTATTGTGCAAGGAAGCCAAAACACAGATTTCCTCCATTTCTGTCAAATACAAGTCTTGCAGGGAAACAGCCCCTGTAGTCAGAAAACAGGGACCAATCCTCTCCCATTGTGGGAGTTCAAGACAGCTAAAAGGTGAGGAAGAATTCCAGGGTGGCAGAACCTGCACTCATTTCTACCTCTTGTTACATCGCAACACAACAAATGCATTCCACACTGCAAACTGAACCAGAATCCATTCCTATCCAGAACTGGGGAGATGAAGGGCAACAGCATTGTTCATCAGACTGTTGAGAATATTAATTGACAAACGCATCTAGGTCTCATTTGCATAGTAGCATTGTAGCCCTGATATTAACATTCACAACATAATGCCCCAGATCTCCCAGTGCACAAAAAAATTGTTTAATGAATAAGCCCAAGGGGATGGAAAAAGGTTTCACACACAGGTAAAACCTATGCTTATCTGGATCTTTGATAAGTTGTGTTCTTTTTAATGCAAACTGTATCACTTCATCCAACTCACAGCATTTAAATGACAAACAATGCTTAAATGTAATGAAGGATAGATCTCACACAATCTGCCCAGGGCAGCAGCCCCTGCTTCTTCAAATGGCTCACAGTGATGAAACAGCATCCCTAGTCAAGAGAATTTTTGCAGGAATTTGCCCAAGCACAGGGAAAAAAAAAAATCAAAACGGAGGCATGGGATTTGAGTTCTGTAAATATTTAATTTTTCTGCAATTCCAAAATAGAAATATTTTGGAACCCAGACACTGAAAGGAAGACAGTAAAGAATGTGGCATTGGGCATCCTTTTGCTGGATTATAGTATAGGGGACAAAATCCCTGTGTGGTTTTGTTTTGTTTCAACTCTGTATTAAAGAAATACCTAAATAAAAATGGGGAGGCTTCACATATAAATATCTGAGTAATGCACATACTAGACTCTTTGGGGAAAGGAAAAAAAGCAACTTGTTTTCAGGGAACCTTTTTCGTTCAAAACAGTAAGATACTCATTAGGAAAACTGTATTTCCTACATAGTTTTGAAAATTTTCAGAAGGGGGGACAAGCATTTTTAAAAGAAGAAAAGGGAATATCAGGATTTTCTTAAAATATTTTGAGGTCGAGTCACAATTCACCTTAGAAATAGCTTATGAAAATCTAAGATGGGTTGTATTTTTAATTTGTTCATTTGTTTGCTTTCTAGGTGCTTTCTTCTCAGACCTGACAAAGTTTCCTTGCCTCTAAAAATGAGCACCTTTGGAAGGTTCTCAGAAGATCAACACCCCTTTTCATCTTTGGCTATCCAGTTTTTCCTTCCCAAACACACAACCTCACAGGCTGGGTACAGCTTTTCATGGTATGAACTAAACAAATTCTTTCTGACCATAACAATTTCCACACTCCTCCTACTCAATTACATGCAGTCTCCTTGACTCTGTGAATTCTACTGGTTAGTTCTTAAAAGGAAGCCAAGACAGCTTTCTGAAGCCACAAAAACATGCTCATTTTTTCTCACTGAATTACTTTCTTGCCATTTCTGTCAGCTGAACTGGCAGGCCAACGGAGATGGCAGGAAAAAATACTAGAACTCTGCAGCTAAATTCAACCTGGACAACAGATGAGGCTCCATCTGTTGGATGAAGGAGGTACCAGGAAAATGAGATTTTATAAAAGGGATATATTAAATCATAGAATCATTTAGGCTGGAAATGGCCTCAAAGATCATTGGGCCCAGCTGTAAATGTAACACTGCCAGGATTACCACTAAATCATATCCCTAACAGTATACCTGCATGGCTTTTAACTACCTCCATGGATGGTGACTCAACCACAGCCCTTGGCAACTTGTTCCAATGTTTGATAACCCTTTCTATGAAGAAACTTTGCCTAATACTCAATTGAAACATCATTCTGGCACACTTAAGCCTACGTCCTCTCACTTTGTCACTAGCTGTCTGGGAGAACAGATCCACCCCCACCTGGCTACACCCACCTTTCGAGTAGTTGTACAGAGCAATGAGGTCATCCCTGAGCCTCCTTTTCTCCAGGCTAAATACCCCAGCTCTCTCAGCTGCTCCTCACAGCACTTGTGCTCCAGACCCTTCACCAGTTCTGCTCCCCTTCTCCAGACACTCACCAGCACCTGTCTTTCTTGGAGTGAGCAGTCTAGAACTGAGCACAGGATTTAGGTGTGGCCTCATGAGTGCTGAGCACACTGGGACAATCACCTCCCTCATCCTGCTAGCCACACTATTGCTGACACAGGCCAGCATGGCTGGGGCCATTTTGGCCACCTAGGCACAGGTGGCTCATGTTCAGCTGCTGTCAGCCAGCACTCCAGGGTCCTTTTCTGCTGGGCAGGTTTCCAGTCGCTCCGTCCACAGCTTGTAATACTGCTTGGGGTTATGATGAAAGTGTAGGACCCATCCTTTGGTCTTGTTGAACCTCATGCTGTTGGTCTTGGATCATGGATCAAGCCTGTCCAGATCCCTGCACAAAGCCTTCTTACCCTCTAGCAGATGAACACTCTTGCCCAACTTACTGTTATCTGTCCAGATCATCAATTAACTTATTAAACAGGACCAGACACAGTACTGAGCCCTACGAACTCCACTTGTTACTGGCAATCAGCTGGACTTAACCCCATTCACCACCACTATTGGGAACTGGCCATCTAGACAGGAGCATGGAAAAATGAAACAGAGTAAAATACTTCTATGGAAAAGACAGGAATACAGAACATCCTAAGTGGCTTTAAGACTACTTAAGTGCATGAGAAAATATTTTATACGTTTATTGATTGTCCCACTCTGTCCTATGCTGGTGTGGCCCTACCTCAAGTCCTGTGTGCAGTTTTGGGCACCACAATATCTCAAAAGATATAAAGCTATTAGAGAACAAGCACCCAGGATGATGAAGGGTCTGGAGGGGAAGCTGTATGAGTGGTTGAGGTCACCTGGTCTGTTCAGCCGGGAGGAGACTGAGGACAGACCTGACTCAAGTTACAACTTCCTTGTGAGGAGGAGGGGCAGGCACTGATCTCTTCTCTGTGTGGCCCAGTGACAGAACCTCAGGGAATGGACTGAAGCTGTGACAGGGAAGGTTTAGGTTGAATATTAGAAAAAGGTTCTTTGCCCACAGGGTGACCGGGCATGGGAACAGCTCCCCAGGGCAGTGGTCATAGCACCAACCTGACAGCTGAAGGAGTGTTTGGAAAATACTCTCAGGCACATGGTGTGTTCCTTCTTTTATTTATACATATATGCACAGTAAATACATGCCCCGTGGCACAGATGAGCAGGAAGCAAGCCTGCTTCCTCCCGCCCCCTCCGGCTCACGCTGCACATCACAAAGGCTCACAAGCACCATGAGCAATGTCGCCACTTCTGCTGAATTTGCAGGGCACTTTAAAGTCTAGCGCAGGCAGCACCAAAACCGGCAGGCAGGCAGGCAGGCAGACGTGACCCAAATTCCCGCAGGAACACTGTCCCGGGAGGGGGCTGCGCTGCCCGGCGCCGGGAGCCGCGGCACGACGCGCTCAGCTCCTGCCTGCTGGCGGGCTGAGCGCTTCCCATCACCGTGATTCGGAGAAGCGAAAAAATGCATTCCGAGAATTCTCATTAGGCCAATATGCTATTTCAAACCCATCCTTTCATAGTAAATATGACGGAAAACGTGATGTTAAAACAAATTTGTTAGGTGCTTTTTGTTTTCTTTCTTTCATCTCAAGCCCATACTGAATCGTCAAACGGACTGGGTTTGGGGCTGTTTGTTTGGTTTTTTATTAATTCCGGTTTTATTATGTGCCTTTTCTTACCGCATTTATTTCAGGAATTAATTGTACTGTTTATAAAAAGTAAATAAACATATTCTCCGTGAAGTCTCGTGTTCTGGAAAAAACATCTGGTACTCCAAAGATAAACCACTCACTAATGCGGACAGAGACGCCAAGACACCATGAAAATAGGTACCTGAAAATTAGCAATCCCAGATTTTAGCACTTAACAATAAAAAGCAGAGATATAGTTACATTTTCAGAGTGAAGCTTCTTCTTCAAAACTGCTTTTTACCTGAACTTAAACAGTTTACACTTTCAGAAAATACTGCAAGGTCCTTTAAGGTCCTGATTTTGCTGACATAAAAGAGACAGAGAAGTACATTACACCAGAAAAGTAAACAACACACACACAGAGGGATTTTCTAGAATTTGTATTTCACAGTACTTGTGATCTCTGACAGTAAGAGCAACAGTTAATAATTTCAATTGAGTATGCAGAAATTACTAGGTATTGTGTGGTGTGTTTTTTAAAACAGTGAGGCTTATTGAACAAACTAATCTTTTTAGCAAGAGATTCACATTCTCATTCCCACTCTAATTATTGTGGAAAGGGGTTACTACAGAAGCAGTCACCTGAACTGGTTTGGTGCTACCCACAGCAGGTCATCCTTTACCATGATCAGAGGCAGGGATGGGGGCAAAAAGCAGTACTTATGCAGCAGAGTGTAACAAGATCCAAACATTAAAACTCAGCATCAATTTACAACCCCCAAATATTATTGCAAATTGAAAGTACACATGCAAAACTTTCCTGGGATGAGTGGTAGGCACGAGTGGAGTAGTTTGCACTTACTACAGCTGAATTCTGCTGGACTTAGATGCATACATATGCATCATCAAAGCCACTACAATATCCCATTACAAACAGAACAAAAGATTGTTCAAGATGAAAAGGGAGGGAAAAAAAAAGGAAACTGATTATATTCAAAACACAGCTGCAAGATACTCAGGTCTTACCTACTGATTACCTAAATCTCAAAAATTCAGCTTAGAGAACTTGCTCCTGGTGTACATCTATCTTTTGCCCAAGAGCAGTTCTCTCATTTCCTCGGTAGAATTGTTCCAGTGCTCCCCCAACAGGAAGCAATCAGTTCTTCAAAATGATTCTTCAAAAAAGAGGGAACAGCTTCAACTGGAACAGAAAACTGCCCTTTGGGGAAGAAATAAAGCAGATCCTATATCCCTGCCGTCATCCCCCTGTCTCCCCCACCCCAATTAAATTATTTCAATTTTTAGAAAACAGTTAATTTTAAGTTTTAGAAAACAGTTTCTGCCTCTTGAGAAATAACACTCTAGCAACTAACATTTTTTTTCATCAAAAATGAATTTCAAATTTTAAAATCCTTTTCACATATTACTTCACAGAGGACAGCCAGAAAGCTGGTTTTCTCAAGTGTTCTGGGACCCACAGCACCAGTCCAGTGGAGGAACCTTGGAAATGACAATTCAGTCTCCCACAGGTGTTGAAGGAGCTCTGAAGAAAACAAACCTCACCTCCTGAGGCACAGCACGTGCCCAGTATTGCAGTGAAGATTTATCCACCACTCCTTTTTTCAAAAACTCAGCAAGGCTTGAGAAGATAAAAACCTGGAAGCCAAGTGATTTCATCTGAAGAGCAAAGTTAATTGAGGTAAAAGGCTGACAGATCAATTATACGTCAATATTGCATATGTGCATAAACACTGGAAAGTGGAGATTTCATCTGCCATTTCATTTTCTGAATGTTTTTCCTAGACTTTCACCCTGTCACACAGATTATGGTGCTAGGAAGGTTTTTTTGTATACACTTTAGGAAGCTAACTACTGAAGGGACACTGAACTTTCAGTTCACCTGATCAACACTGGCTTTAAAAGCTACCTCTGACTTAGTCAGCCCCAATCACTTTAACTGTAAATCTAACACATATCTTTACATTTTCTGGACCATCTGCTCTTTGGGATACCAACACAAATTAAGTCTGAGAATTGAAGTGCTACAGCAAATAGTGCATCAGCTGAGTTCAAGGGGACTTGAAACTTGTCTTGGAGTAGTAAAATAAAAATTCAAAAGTTTGGTTCTGATGTGCTTGCAGTATCAGGATTTGATGGTAAGGTAAATCAGACTCAGTAGGTGTACATAATCAATTTCATTGAGAAAAAAATTAAGTTAACTGTGAAATAAAATAAGTGCAGCCACCATTCCTGAAGTGCCTCTTTTCATGAATTATTTATTCTCTGCAGCTAAAACATAGCTTTTACTCTTGTGGCATCTTAAAATGAAGGAAAAAAAAAAAAAAAGGAAATAGAAAAAAAAACATATGTATTACATGGTCCAAAGTTCTAATTATAATTTTTTTCAACTTCAGCAGTACACTTTGTACTGCTGCTGTTTTTGAATGCTTCATCTTCCTGCATCCATATTCAAATAGCAAACCAAGCAGTAGAAGTGACCAACTCTAGCACCAAAAGATCGTTATTCCATTGGTCATTCAACACCTGCATCTCTGGAATCTGAGAAAAACAAGCTGGGTACCTGTCTACTGCTTCCTGCAACTGGTTTTTAAAAGGCCTATTCATTACTGGGATACAATCCAATCAGTCCAGCATTTATATTTAATCATCCAGTCATAATGCAAGACAATTCAAACAATGGAACAATTGTTAGTTTCCGAGCTTCATACTAAACCAGATTTTCTGTCCCTGTTAAGGTTTCTAGCAGCCTTGGTTCTCACTCTATTAATAGAACAACAATATGCCGTATTCTTGGAAGCATTTTACTTTTAGTCAAGCATTCCTGTGTGTATGTGTCTAAGTATGTAATCTTACTACATATTGTCACTTCATGTACTTCATGTTATACACTTTACGTTAGCTTTATGTTCCTGTCTGAAGGAAATAAACATGAATATAGCTCTGTGTAATTCATAAAATTTAATGGTACATTTGATCATATCTAAGCCTAAAACCCCATAAAACTCACACTATACAATGCATTTCATACAACTACCAATGCTGTATCACAAACCTCACAGAACACAAACATCAAACTGAAGGTCACATTGACCAAAATATACCAAAACTGTACAAAATCAATCTGTTTAGAGACTGAAGTCATACATTCAGCATCACTCATATACATTCCACAATAAACAATTTATTAGCCAACTTTACACTAGTTTCCAGTCATATTAGTCATACCTCTCCGCAATTCCTTTCTTTCTACCACCACACTTCTGCCTTCAAGGTCTTAAGCAACTCACCTCTCCCTCTCAAGATGTCTCAACAGTTTACTCAGTCATGACAGAGAGCATTGCTGAAGTTCACTTCTAATCTTTAACATGTCTTGCACGTAACTAAAATGTAAACAAAATCTGTTGCAAAAGGGAGTTTAGCAATTTTTCTGTCATTCAGACAGTGGGATGCACAGATGCAAATGCAGATCTGAGAATTGCATTTGAAGGGTTTAGGTCTGCAAGTCTTATATTGATACTCTTCACAGCGTATTTGGAAAAAGAGGAAACAAGTAATCACCCAGCCTCTCCCAAGACCTTATATACCATGAGACAATGCATTAAGCCAGCTGCACCTGCTTCAGTAAAACACATTCATAATCTCTTTATTCACAGCAAAGTTTCTTCCTCAGAGCCTCCAAAGGATTAAAATTATTTTTTCAAACAGCAAAATTAATCATATAGCCACCGCTCTGAAATTTTCTGTGACAGTGTCACCAGCGACCTATCATCCAACATAAAATAGTATTACACTAAAATTCACCTGTACCTGATAACACTGATAAAACAACAGAAGGGCAGATGAGAGTGGTAAAATTCAAGTATTTTCCATTTGTTTCACTCAATCCTTTTGCAAGACTGGATGTAAACTCTAAGTATACCATGTAGTTATGCATGACTCTGCTAAAATTGTTATGAAGAATTTACCACATACGCCTGCAGCGTATGCAGAAATTATTCCAACCAATAGTGTTAAAGACAGCAGTCAACAAACAAGCAGTAAATCAACACAAGGGGCAGAGGTCTGAAGTCAGCTGCCCCTTTTCTTTCGTACCAGGATAGTAACTTTCACGTGCCTGGTTCATTCCTATGGCACTAATCTGAGTTTATCTCAAGCCATTCTTTCTTCACTTGAAAGGAAGCCAGCAGAACAATTTAAAACTAGAGCCCTTGATGCAATATTTCTACCGAACCAACGCTTCACATGTATGTAATGTAACATCAATGTAAGTAACTTGGCATGACTCCAACCATTAAATGAAACCAAACTGACACATCCCTGTGAAATAGGGCCACTTCCACTGAACAGTAATCTGAGTACACAAAGAATAAACTAACCAGAACAAGCTCAGCAAGTGACAGAAAAAAATTATTCCTCCTTTTGCAACTTCCATAAACTACATGAGGCTTTGTAAAGAACTAAGGAAGAAAAACAAGAGTCCTTTTGCATATGTGGCTGAAAGGAAACTAAACAACTCTGAATCATTAAGGTTTAGAAATGCTTCCATTAAATTACCACCCAGAGCAAAATTCATTTTGGTAGCAACTACAAGTTCATTCTCAAATGAGATTTGGAACAGAAAGTTTTCTTCTTGTGGTCTGAGCCACATGAAAGAGCACTGTACACTTCAAGAACCTTCTGACACACAAAGCAGAAGCAGACCATAATAAAGTGTTCTGCTTTTATCCCATCTGAAAGAAACTGAAGCTATGTACCTGCCTATAGACGAACAAGCTTAAAAAAAATCTAAGACCAGTTTAATCCTTTTTTCAAACTACTGTGATCCAAGAGTTTCAGTCCATTCTTATTGCTGCAGAAGACATTAGGAACTTACCTACTGGCTTCTTCAAGATAAAGCAGGAAAAGAAAGCTTGGAAAAGGAGCTCAAAATTAGTTCAAATTATAAAAACAGGGACAAGAAGTTAATTAATAAAATTTAACTAATTAAGTTCTACAGTTCACCACCATAGCAACATTAAATAGTCATCATACTAACCTGTCAAACAAAAAGCCATTCAGAAAATGACAAAACATACTTAAGACACCCACATATACTAGAACTAGATTGTAAGTATTTCACATACACTAAAGGGATATGTCAACAAAAAGAGGGATATATCAACAGTACTCTGGTACAGGGGGTCTCCCATTCTACCAAGAGCATGACAAGTGTCTCTGAGGTACAACTTAACCTATTACAAGGATCTTAAACTATCCTTAAATCTTTCAGGTGCACTGGGCACCGCACACAAACAGCCAGGAAAGAATTATTGCCAAAGGGGAGCTGAGTGCACAGCAACTATTGGAAATGTCAGTAGGTATCTGTCTGCAATCAACACTCTGTCTTCATAAGTCTGACAGTGGGATTTTTTTTCCCTAATGTGACACATCATACTGAGGTAAAGCACATACAAGTGATTGTCAACTGCCAGCAACTAAAAGGGAGTTCCTGCCAAAGTACCGAGTCAGAAACAACATCCCCCATGAAAGACTTTCAGGAAACTTAAGCGTTAGAAAATAAAAATTTACAGCCGAACTATAATCATTACTTAGCCCACTGACAAAACAATGCAAGTACAGTTCCACACAGAAAAAAAGGAGTTCTTATGCATCATCTAACGAGCATGCACACACATGCTACTAATCAGCTATGCTACTGTCACTTCAATTGCTTTAATAATGTATCAGCTCTACAAACAGAATAACCAAAACCACTGACCACTTCTTATTTCTGGAATAAGAATTACTAAGGAAAACAAAGAAATAAAAAATGCAAGTTATTTTTCATCCCGTTCTGAAACTCTTCAAACAGCTTCTGAAATACTGGCTGGGCAGAAGAATCCTCAGCCATGGCCACTAAAAGAAACCCACATTCATTATCCACTAGATTTCTGCAAGTGCTGGAACATAGAAAGAAGAGCAATCAGTGCCAAGCACTGACCCGGGCAGCAAGCCGCTCAGTTCAGTCAAAAGCCAACAATTTGCTTCTCAGAGCTTTGTTTATGGAGCCTAGAATGACAGTCTAGTTAGACATCCTGCATTATCTCTGAAAAGCTCATACTGACTAAAAGTCATAAGGGATGCACATTCAGAATGCTCTCTCATCACGGAATAGGCACGCATGTGCAAGCAAAAGGTAGGGCAGGCTAAGTATACACCTATTATTAAGTCATAAATAAATGAATAATGAATAGGTGCATTATTTCTTGTAGCTGTATTCAGATGCTGTAGATCAGAGCTGGTTTCTTTCCAAGTTTGGTTTTTTTTATATTGTGTTTCTTTAACAAGAACCATCCAAAACTCAGTTATGAAATATTCGTGCAGTACTGCTTCTCAGATCTAGAGACTAGCAGCAGAATACACAAAAAAATTTTTCTCTCTGGTTACTTTATAGGGCACAACACAAGATACAAACACCTGCAAGGCTGCTGCTAACTGTTTAGTTAACTGCTAGAACTGCAGGCCTTGAAGGAGCATTTTCTTCTTTACTGTATTTTGAAGATCTGGGATAGAGATGCCTGAAGAGTTCATGAAGGCACCTCTCCTTCTATTTAGTAAGTAAAACAATGCTTTATTCTCACAAAGTATTGAGAATAATCACACATATTGTTTTCCACTGCACACTCCAGTTAGGATGCATTCTGTTGAATAAATCTGCCTGAAGGCTGGTACTTGCAGTGTATGTCTCTCCTATCAGCACAGATTACACAAAATTCTTGGAGTTCTTAATTTTCATGGCAAGAAATACACTCCAAATATGGTTCTAAAAAATTAAGTGATTTTAAGTTCATTTGCAATTTTAACAGCCATGAATTACAGTCAGAATTCCTAGTACAGTTTTAAATTTTACATTGTTTGCACAGCTTCATTAGAAAAAATAAAGAGGAAGCTAAAACTCCTAGCTATAGTATCTCTCCAGGTTCTTCTCTCTTTTTTTACAAAATAATGAGTAAACTGGTGTCTTTATAAAAGAAATGGAATTGCAGCCTTATTAGCAACTTATATAAGTTATTATATATATATATATATATATATATAACTTGCAAGGGACATAAGGAAGTAGCTACACTGACCATTATCTCCCCAGTTAAGTTCAGACCACATAAGAAACATGAGCTTTCTCGCAGTCTCACACAATAGGCAGAGGGAAAGATCAGCCAAAAGCTCCCATTTGCTGACAGAGAAGCTGGCACTGAATTCATAACCAAGATAACCAACTTCCATACTGCATGGACTCACAGCTGTGAACCAAAAAGAAGCTTTAGCCAAATTGATTAATTCTTTCTTCTTTACATGAAGGGCAGGCCCTAAAATGGTTTGAAGGAATGCTGTACACTCAGTTGACACCTGGCAATCCATACTTTTTATCAAGCCAACAGAAGCACTGCCATTAATTTCAAAGGGATTCCACCAATACTGAAAAAAATGTTGCTATTTGAGACACATAACAACACAACAGACAACACAGTCTGGCAGTACATTTCTTTGAATACACTGCGAAGTGTCTGCAGGAATCATTCCATAATGACTATAACACATTATTATGGCTGTTTCTATTTTCTCTCACCAGAGCCATCAGCAAATGATTACACCTGCTTAGCAAAGGTACTGGAGCAACAGTGTCAAATACGCTGGGATCTGTGTCAAAGGGCTTACGAGAAGAATTAAGAAGAGATCAAACACTTAAATACAGGTGAAGATGAAGATAACAAAACAAGAAGAGTTAAGTAAATTACCCAGATCAGCTGCACAACCTCTGAGGCAAAAAAAAAAACCCAAAACCCTAACCAAACAAAACCAACAACAACAAAAAAACCAAGCCATCCAACCAAAAAACAACCCAAGCACACGGAGTATGGAAATAATCACATAAAATAATCAACTCTTCGAGGATACGTAGGAGTACTGATTATTCTACAAGCCACAAAACAAAGTACGAGGCGTAAGTAAGTGTTTATGGCTTCCATCCACATTTTAGTGGGGGTAGGGGAAGTGCCTGCAGACAAGTTCAGTTTTCTGCCACACCACACCACCCCTCCACTCCTGACAGATGCTGCCTACTATTCCCTAGCCACGTTGTCTAGTGCTGTTCAGCAGCTGACAATCTCAAAAAAACCAAACCAAAACGAAAAAACAAGCCGGGACCAGTGAGAGGGGAAAGCGGCTTTTCTTCATCAAAATTCTGAGTTTGTTCCTGCACAGAAAGTGCGGTTAGTTTCGGCTATAACACTGACCCGCAACCTGAGCCCAGCCAGTATTTAAAATACAAAACTACGTGTCGCCTTCGGGCGCCGCAGGAACCGGTCAGCGCTTCGGAGGACAGGCTGCCTCCCCGCTCCCATTTAACGGGAAAGAACGCGGCATTCCTACCGCTCTCGGTTCCAGCATTGTCTCGGCCAGCCCTCGCAGGTGGGACGCGCTGAGCCCGCCCGCAGCCCGCACCGAGCGGGT